AAGTTAACGTTCGTTCGTTACAGTGTTGTTTTGGCGCGAGTATTGAGATTAAGTGTATCGCAGAGTTATATTCGGAAAGAATAAACCAGTTTTATTAAGTAAAGGCTTGTGTCGTTAAAGTTTCGTTGGAACAAAGTTACGGAAAGTTAATTAACAAACGGAGACGTAACAACATGCTTGCCCTTCAGTCGTTATAATGTATGGTCAATCCCACTATTCGTTAGTAAAAGAGTAGCCCAAGAGTTGGCGGTGGGTGGTGATGACTAGCTGCGTTCCCTTTAGTCTTTCACTGCTAAATTAGGTAAGGCTAGCGCAGATTGCCCTCGTGTAGCTTTGTGCGAAATTCAAACCAAAGAAATATATTATATTCTTTGATAGATTATTTAGGCAGAGTATTCACGATGAAACTTTATAGAATGGACGGCAACTGCCTGTTGTAGAGAAACAAGTATAGAGGACGACGTTTCGAAAGTCTTCCGCCTTTCGTTATCAGGTCCAAGAGGCAGTTGCCGTCCATTCTACAAAGTTTTAAATAAACTATATATTTGAAAGATATAGTCTTTATTAGTAGCATTACAGATTCGTAAGCTGGTATAGCCTGTAAAACAAATCTCGCTACGTCTGTAAGATCTGAAAAAAAGGACATACAAGTCGTCTTTTGTCAATCTTACCTCATATCGATACCTGACGAGCAAATCTAAAACGAGGATGTTACTATGAAAGTTCTCTTTCTTGAACACCTAAGTGTCGTGATAGTGACTCATAGAATTAATCTGCTGAACACTTGCCCCCTGTGGCTCAGCGGTAAGTCTGTAGTTTCTACCTCATTTTATACGTATGCAAAGAGTGAAATGTGAATAAAAATTTACTTTATATTTCAATTAGAAGTGATTTATGGTTAGCGTGTTAAGCTCTGTACTAAAAGGTCCAAGGTTAGAGTCTCAATACTGCTGAACACGTTCTACGCATGCAGCTGTAGAAGGGTCATAATTTTAACAGTCAATACTGCTATTCATTTCAGAGTAGCTAAAAAGACGGCGGGTGTTGCTAATTGGTTGCCGCTCGTCTAAAAAACAGTTCTCAATTAGGGATAGCTAACTCTGAATCTTAGATCTTTACCCTATGTCATGTGCCGTTCAGTCTGAAAAAACGCTGTGTACCATACTTAAATGTTAAAATTAATTTCATTCTTACGTTTCTAACCTGATTGATTTTAGAATTGAGCGTTCTGATATCTTAATATATTTTTTGTCAAAAACTTGTATGGGAAACACTTGTGCTCATTATTTTTATCAAGCTTGTATATCTTATATCCAGATTCTTTAATAGAAATGATTAAAATACATAGGTACTAAATATTATGCAAACACAAATTACTTCTTTCCGATTTTTGTCGCCCTGAATACATAACTCTTAAGTTTTTGCCTTACACTTTTCATGACTTTTAATAATTAATAAATATCCCAAATGGTTTCATGTCTTATGAAAAGCACAAACTGTAAACGATCTGAAATATATATATATGTCATGTGACCTCTTTGTTCAATACTGTATATATATATATATATATCTGTGACAGTGTAAATTACTTGTACCTGATGATGACAAAACCGTGTAGAAACGTTGTACATTTGCTGTTATGTTAAACTTATATTACAGTTTTTCTTCATTACCCATTCAAGCCGTCTCCAACCACTATTAGTCTCAAAGTGGGTTTCTCGTCATCAAATTTGAATTCATCACAGCGGTAAGTTTTATAACACTAAAAGTTTGGAATTCGGTTCCCCGTGGTGGATACAGCTGATAGCCCATGTGGCTTTACTCTAAAACAAACAAACACATAGAAAGGTGAATTTTCTACAAGTGTGAAAGAATTTATTTATTCTTAGGAAAAATAAAGTGTACAGTGTAATTTGTCCTTGACTTACAAGTTCATTTTACTTCAATATCACATCACAAACTGTTTGTTTGTTTGTAATTAAGCACAAAGCTACACAATGGGCTATCTGTGGTCTACCCACCACGGGTATCGAAACCCGGATTCTAGCGTTGTAAGTCCGCAGACATACCGCTGTGCCACTGGGGGCCTCAAAGACATGTACAACAGCAGTAGTTTCACCAAATTGTACTAAATGTGAGTAAAAAAAAGGATGTTGTTATATCTTCTGTTGTTGCGAATATATTTGATTTAAAGTAAAGCTGCGTAGTGGGCTATCAGCTCTGCGAAGGTAAAATACAAAACATGATAATTAAATACGTACGGAAACTTTCGGGAAATTTAGGATAGATCTCAACTCCTATTAAACATATATTTACTCGCTATTTTTAATACGGTGTTGATGATCGCACTCTACATTTTCAGCTATAGACGCGTTATGAAAATGGCATTCAAGCCCACTATTTGGTACCAAAAGCTAGACAAAACCCTTGCGACGACAGGCGCTATTGAGTGGTTGTCTTTCATGTGACCAGTAGGCCTAGATCAAAAGTGAGATCAGCTATTCCTGAACCCTATGGATTTCTGCCCTGGTCGTTTAGGTGCATTAGGTGCCGTTCAGATTCAACTAAATCCTCTAGTTAAAAAATTACAAAATAATTACGTAGCACCAGAAAACATGACAGTGTGTTCGAATAATTTATATATTTGATCGCAATCTGAGAGTCGCTGGTTCGAATCTCCGTCCCACCAAATACGTAGATTTTGAAAGTCGAGTTGTTCAAAACTTGAAAATAGCGTTGATAACTGGACCAATTGTTGGCTGAGATGTTGCAAAAGAAATATCTGCTGAAGCTTTTCGCCAGACACTAATCATAGCAGAACTGTCTGGAAAATAATATATAGGAAATAGTACAGCTTATAAATTGAGTCAGATGAACGTAAGTAGGAAATGTCACAGACCTACTGAAGGATGTGTAGATTGTATAGGAATTCTTTTTGGCGGCAAAGGACAGGTTTATGTGTTTTAATAAAGGCGGCTTCCAAAATATAGAGATGAATAGTTGATAGACCATTTGCAATCATTTTAAACCTGCTATCCGTGTAGTTGTCAGCATAAGTCGGGTTCACTAGTAAATACTGGCCAATCGCTGATTCACATTTTGGTGGTAGAACTGTTGTTTTACAGGAGCGACATGGTAAATTCTTTACTTTTACTTTTCTTATTTCGGAACCGAAGTATGTTCAAACACATAAATACAAGTCATTTACCCTTCATCGTTACCAACTCATCAAATTATCAAGTTACTAGCTCTATTTAGTTAAGAATAGAAAGCAAACACTATTTGAAGAGAGATTAAGTGAAGCTTGTGAAAAGAAAGCTTTAAGAATATCTTTATACACTTAATTAAACAAACAGAACTGTATGTCCTGTTTTTATTAATAAAAATACACATAAACAGAAAACTATATTTTGAAATGAAATCAAAGACACGTTCTATAGCGATTAGAGAAGTAATGTGAAAATAAGGAAAGACCCCAAAAAGAATATATATAACTAAAAAAGAATATGCACGTGAGCTCGCATAACTAAAGTATTGAAAAATAAATTAATGGTAGTGGCTAAGTTTATATGTAATCTCATTCATGCAAAGTAACAGACATTTTATCAAAGACTAAGGTCTTAAATGTTAAACAACTCTAATGTAGAAAAAACTAGAGAACAAAATTTGAGCATGACACAATTTTTTTATTAATTTCAAAACTGATGGAACAAAACAGGAAGAAATTGTGTAAAAACCAGTAATGTAGAAAGAGTTGAATGATGTAATCTATGAATTCTCAGTAGGTCACACTAATAATTTTTTTTAGTTTTTAATCAGTTCTAATAACAAATGGGTGTATAAAATTGTTGATAAATAGATTAAAAAATAGAGTACTTTGTTGTTGTTGGTTTTTTTGGAGGGGGGTGTTCTTCTAGTTTGCTGAGTTTGTTATATTAGATAATTATATTTCTTATAACTTATTTCACT